CCTCCTGCCGGTACCGCTGCACATAGCAGGTAACTGCAGAGCTTCGACTGCAGTTAATGCTTGGTAACCCCTGACAAGGTGGGTTAGATAGACACCTAAATGGATTATTTATTGATTATTTTTTTTTTAATGGCTATTACTCTGGGTTAGATTTGGGTCGCGGCGTAAGTCCAGCACGGCTCCATTGTGTTAAGAGCATTTCCACAGAGCTCCCGAGAGCAAAACCTGCTTCTCCGTTGCACAGAAACGGGTGCGTGGTCCCAACACTGACAGCCTTGGTCACCCTTGGTCACCCTCTCCCCGTCTGCCCGTGGCTGGGAGTGCTGCCAGGGGTGTGCGGGCCCCGCGCCAGGGCGATGCTGGGCAGAGGCGGTGTTGCTGCTTTGCTTCTCTGCGCTGTGCTTTCCCCTCACGAGCCAGCCCTGTCACACTCACACCCGTTAGGAATTTTTGGCCTCCAGCGTGTCCCACGAGAACGATTCCCTGCAGCGCTTTCGCCGCACACGTCGGTGGTTGAGTCCCCTCTCGCTGCGGGCGGTGCTGGGGGTCCGTGCCAGCGGTCTGACCCCCGAAACGGGCAGCGCGGACAGGGCACACGCTGGACTTGTGCTTGGGGGAGGTTATGTGACCAGGCCATTCCAGGAGCTGAGGTCTTCATCCTTTTCCCCTGTATATTGTTTTGAAAACGCTGCGTGCCGTGTCGCAGCTGTGGGCAGAGGACGAGGTTTTCCCGAGAAACACCGAATCTCTGCATCCCTCCAGGCCACGTCCATCACTGCCCCGTGAATGAGGAGGAGAAGCTCTGCCGCACGGAGCTGTGCCCCGGGAGCAGGGAGCGTTTGGTGACAGTTGACATGACAGACAATGAAAGGGGGAAACCTGATGGGAACGGGGGGCAAAGTAGGGAAGTGGCAGCAATTACTGCCGTGGCATTACGAGCGCGTGGTCCTTTGCTCCATGGCTGGAGGTGGCAGGAGGAAATGCAGCAGTGGGAGGGGGCCAGGAAACACCGG